AACGTTGTCCTCCAGTCAATTTCAGAGCGCGCAGACCGATTCTTTTCGAAGCTAACCAAGACTTTCTCCGATAAGGCCATGGAGACGGACAACAAGGACGACGCCCCCAAGAAGACCCGCAAGGTCAAGAAGCAGGTCCGCAAGGGCGACCTTCCTATTTCCACCGGCACCGCCTCGCTTCCCGAGTCCACCAAGGTTGCGCTCTTCGAGAAGGAGAACGCCATGGTCATGGAGGACAAGCTGGTGGCCGACACGGAGGAGAAGAAGAACGAGCTCGAGACCTACATCTACGACCTCCGCAACAAGCTCGATGACCAGTACGCCGAGCTTGCCACCGAGGAGGAGAAGAACAAGATCAAGGAGAAGCTTGAGGCTAGCGAGGTAAGTGAAGTTCCACGATTTGACATACACCAGACGCATGAGACTGTGCCGCTAACGCCGAGATTTCAGGACTGGCTCTACGATGAGGGTGACGACACGACCAAGGCCGTTTACATTGCCAAGATTGACGAGCTCCGCGCCATGGCTGGACCCATCATGCAGCGCCATTTCGAGAAGGTCGAGGCTGAGCGCCAGGCCGTTCAGGCCAAGATTGACGCCGAGAAGGAGGCCAAGCGTGCTGCCGATGAGGAGGCTCGCAAGGCCGCCGAGGCCGAGAAGGGCGCCAACGGCGGCAAGGACGAGGAGATGACCGACGCTGCGGGCGAGGCGAAACCCGATGTCGACGAGACTGGCGAGGCCTCCAAGTAAGACGAGCCTTGTCCGATCCTCGCCTCTTCTCCTCCCCCTTCCTCCCCCATTCCTATTATCCTGCCCCGTTCTTCCTAACGGAAGGGGGCCGGACTCTTTACGACGACGATGAGACCCTTTCAGGAGATGGGGAGCCCGGCGAGGCGGAAGAGCATTATGGCAGAGGGCCCGGCGAGGCATCATAACTCTACTTACTCCCGTTGTTACGACCGAGACTGGGACAGCAAAAGTAATGATTGATAGACTAGACCGAGCCTGAGGGGTATTGTGTTTTGTTGTTGTTTTTCTCCACTTGCGTTGGTCTTTGATGATTGCGGACGAAAGGGCATCAGGTCACACTCAGTGGGACCTTAGTTAGGTTGGGTGGTCAGGGAATGAACATGATGAGCATTAACTGTACTGACATGGCGCGTGATGTGCCTTTTGCCCCTTATCGGTGTGAATTTTGGAGCCCGGTCAGACACGCGAGGCAGCATGCGCTCAATGAGGCAGGGCAGAGAGTGTTTGTAGGCCTGTGCGTTGAAGCACTTCTCATGGGTTGCCACCTCACCGACTCTGAATCCGAGGTTCTCGTATTCCGGCACTCCAAGAGCCGAAAAGGGGTGTCAATGTGTTCTGAGCACAGATCTGTCTGTCCGGCCCATCTTCGTAGCGTAACCAGGCAGAAAGGAGAGCAGCTTCTGGGAATCTAGCATATCTTGAGAACCGACAGACACAACGGGGGGGGGGGACCAGGACAGTCTGCCGGGAGACAACCGCTACACCCATCATGGCCTGCCACCAAGCCCACAACATTCCGTGGAACGTCCTGGCATCCAACTTTAAGCACGTCGCAGCCCACCGCGGCGTGGAGCACACGAACCTGTACCCGCGCTTCAAGCAGCACCAGGGCAAGGAAATCCAGTACTTCATCAACGCCTTCTGCAGCAACGTGACGGCGCACACACGGGTCGAGCTGCGCAAGTTTGGCGATGAGGCGCAGCCATCGGCGGACGCGGACGCGATCGCCGCTACGCAGTCACACATGCATCCGGACGCCATTCTCCTGACAGACGAGACGGTCGAGCGCATCAAGCACTCGGTCCACGGCTGCGCCGAGATCTACTGGTGCGACGGCGAGCCGGGCCTGGACTGGACAACGGTGCCGCTCCCCTTCCGGCGCGCCGGGGCCTTCCTCCTCGGCCGCGGCGAGCCGGGCGATGGGGCCGACGACGGACGAGAGGCCTGGCGCAACGGCCCTGGCGCCTTCGTCAGCCTCGAGATCTTCAAGCTCCTGCTGCTGCACGGGGAGATGGCCGTGCTGCGCCGCATCTGCCGTGACGGCGGCTCACGCGCGCGCGCCGCCTGGCTCCAGGGGTGGGAACGGCACTACGACGCGCACGGCGACCAGAACGCGTGCGGCTGGGGGTTCGTGCCCAAGCTGGCGCTCAAGGCCTACCTGTGCCTGAACCTGCTGCTGTGTTTCCCGCCGCTGCACGACGACGGCCGCGACGGGCGTCGCGAGCGTGACGAGGGGCGCGCGGGCGCACGGCCGCTCGACTACCGCGATACACGCTGCTACCAGCACACGCTGCGCGAGTGCTGCCTCACGGATGCCGCGACCACGACGGCGGCGCTGCCGCACCAGCACTTCTTCGGCATCCCGCGCGGCGTCTACGCGCGGTACGGCTACGGTTCCGCGCCGGCGGCGTACCTGACGGACCAGTACCCGAGCCGGGAGCGGCCGCGCTTCCCGTACGGTGTCCTGCCGTTCGGAGACTTTATCCATCTCGAGGGCGCCGTGCCGCACCAGCCGTCGGTCCCGGACGTGCTCTACGTGCGGTGGTGCCTCTGCCGGCTCGGGTTGCCGACCGAGCTGGCGATTGAGGTCATGGACTTTGCCGGCTATGTGCCGCAGCGGCGTCTGCCCGTGGCCCATGATCCGTTTCACATGGCGAATAGGGAGGAGCTGCGGAGATATCTCAATTACTGTTGGACTGTGATCGTGCGGACCGATATGCTCGGCACGTGGCTGGGATACGACGTGCCTTGGGACAGACTTGTGGCCGAGCAACTGATGCAGCTTGTGGGTTATGGTCCCAGTAATCCGGTCAACATATGCGCATGGAAGGAGGTTTTGCACCGAGGAGTATGACGGTGAAGGCCAGGGGTTCAGATACCATGATTCGTACAAGTATACATTTCACTGAGACGGTCCCTCGGGTTTGCTGTGATGGACTGTCGACATCATCTCGCAGCCTCTTCTAATTTCGGCTTTTCGTGCTTCATGACAGCTTCAGCTAGGCACAGCACACGCCGTTCGTCTGCTTCCCACCGCAGACACCCGGCAGAAACAGGACGCAGCGACACGAATGTCGGCAGATGCTGTGACAACGTCCTTTTGCAGACTGAGCGCCCATGCCTCGTCCTTCTTGCCGTTGCGAACGAGAGACTCATGCAGCCCGTGCAACCCCCAAACGTTACCGAGCCTGGCCTTTCGCCGAGACAGGTCCTTACTGAGGCCCAAGTCCTGCCGGTACGCCACCTCGGCCTCTTCGGAACGGCCCTGCTCGAGCAATAAAGCGCCCAGAGCGTGCCTGACGGGCTGCATCCAGAGCGGCGGGTCGCTATAGGGCAGGTTATCTTCGAGTGTGACGGCCCGGCGAAGTAGGTCAAAGGCTCGGTCATGCTCTCCCTCACGGTAGACAAGTTCACCTTCGCACATGAGGGACGCCACCTCGAGTACCTCCTTGGCCACAGCCGTGACACCCCATCGACGTTCCCTAGGCACAGCAGCCCGCGCTTGTTCGAATTTGTCCCTTTCCGCCCGTGCCTCCTCCTTCCGCCCCAAGACGCCAAGCGCGATGGCTCGCCCATAGAAAGTGACGGCCGTTGTGATGCTCCAGAGGCCTCCCATCCGCTGGTGCCTCGACCTCCAGCAGGTCCTCCCACCGCCCGAAACGTATGAGGGCGTGCACGAGAATACCGCCCTGGAACTCGACCCAATCAACCATGGGCGGTGACCTCACAGCCAGCAATTCGGGCGTCAACACCTGTCTAATGTGGTGTGCCGCTGAGATGGCGTCTTCGGACCTGCCAGACATCATGGCGGCGTACACCAAGGCCGAAAGGTTATGCGTGCGATAGGCCTTGTACAGCACGCTCGCTGAGTCGCGCTCAAAGTAGATGTCGTCGGACCGAGCGCGCGGCGGTTCGATTCGATGCTGTGGCGGTAGTCACCGACAGCGGCGTCAATGTGGGTGGCCATGTGTTGTAGATGTGAACCGTCGGGAACGAGGTCGCGCAAGCGGTCGGCGGCGGGGAGGGCCAGAGCAACGGTCTGGGACATTTCCATGAGATGGATGTAAAGGTGGTTCAGAGCGGCATGAGTGTGGCCACCCGGCAGAGCGAAGCCAGCCTCGATGGCATGGCGGGCATCGACAGTCTCCTGGGTCGTCGGGGCACCGGTGTCGAGGTTCCACAGCTGGCGGGGGCGGATGCACATGAGAGATTCGGGGTAGAGAGCCTTGACTTCTAGGTCGGATGGAAAGTTGTCATGGACGGCCTTCATGGCATCTGCGTAGGCACGGTCGAGGGTGGCCGGGGTCTCGTCTGAGGCGGCATTCGCCGAGGGGAATCTGGTGACGAGGGCCCGAATGAGAGCCTGCTCAACAGGCGATGCCTGCTCTATGAGCTCCGTCGCGCGAGCCAGAGCCTCACTGCCTCTCTGAGCACTGGCCTTGAAGTCTTCGGCGTCATAGCGAGCCCAGGTCTTGTTGTAGTTGGGCCCGACAGCGTAGGCGAGGCCCCAGTATGCCATGGCACACCGAGGGTCGTGCTCGGCAGCTCTGGCGAAGCATCGTGCGGCCTCCTCGTGGTTAAAGGCATAGGCCCACACACGTCCCCGGTCGAACCACGTCTGGGCAGCATCTGAATTGGTCGTGACCTTGCGCGAGTAACTGCCCAAGTCGTAGGGGTAGGCCTCCGTCTCGACCTTGCCCACGCTGTCGCTCTCGAGGGGTTGATTCCTGGGAATGAGTTTAGCATGAAATGAATTGGAGCTCAACATGGACGATGACAAATGCTCACGCCCATTTATGGTTTATGTAATAGAGGGATTGACCCTAAGAGCCGAGGGCAAATCCAACGGGCATTGTCATGAACCAAAGGCACGGGAGGGGGCAGGGTACGAAAGGGGTGCTGGGTGCCCTGGGTGCTCTATATCGGCCGAGGCAGGTACGAAGACAGACCCCGTGGATCACGCCTTCTCCCACAGCTCACGCACCATGCGTCAGCGTCACGCCCTGCGCCTGCCCTAGGTTTGCCTCCCTGGGTTTGCCTTCCTCGGGCTTAGGGCCTTCTGGTCTCCAGAATAATCACTACGTTTGGTCCCGTAAGAAACGGTCAGCGCACAGCGGCAGCTTAAGCGCCGCTGAGCAGAGACCGAGTGGCGTGGCCATCAAATGCCGAAAGCGCGGGGTACATCCCATGCCCCGATCGGACCGGAGTCCAACGACCCATTATCCACGCTGTCTCCGAATGCTCACCGCCCGATGACTACCCCCATTCGGACACATAACCCGAGATGGCACGCCCATGGACAATCGATGACTGCCGTGGACATCAGCTCTCCGGTAGTTCCGCTATGGCTTCGTCTGAGGTGGGGGTCAGGATTAGGTAGGAGAAACGCAGTTGGTATAAAAAAAAGGGGGGGGGGGGGCTCAACACCATCTACACGCCAAGGCTACAAGGGTAGATCCCGATATCGACGCCGACTGATTCGGTCACGCCGCAAAGCTCAGTGTGAGATATTACAGCCTGACAAGGCTTGCGAAGCACCGAACTCCTAGACCAAATCTTGATGAAGAGGAGAAGAAATGCATCATGTTACTTTTAGGCCTCCAACCTGCCTACTTCGTCTTCGTACAACGAACGTCCCATATCTGACCCGGACCCGTCCACCCATCCATCCCCCTCCTATGCCACCTCGCATCCCTCTAAACCGTATCCATGACCGTGACCGTGACCGTGACCGTGCCGATGCCCACGCCCCGAGACGTCGCCCCATTACGCACACCTAAATCAGTGAATGTCGAACAGAGGCTTGAGCTTGATGATGAGCTGCCACTCGTCGTTCGACACGTCCTTGCGGTAGAACTCCTTGAGCGTGTCGATGCTCTTGCGCGAGATGAGACTGTACAGCGCATCCGGCTCCTCGAGCTGTCGTCCGTATGTCGGCTGGTGTCCGCCCATTTCGATCTTGACTGCCACCGACGGCTGGCCCTTCTTGCACACGGGAATCTGCTTGTGGTCGCGCTCGATCGAGGTACTGGTACGTGCTGTCAGCAGGAGTAAACAGGGAGGAGAGGGGCCCAGAAGCGGAAGAAGGGAGAAGAGGAAAAGGAAAAAGAAAAACATACACTCTGCCGAGGTTGATGACCTCCTTGACACCCGTCACCGGGTTCGTCTTGACGGCGGCAATGGGCGTATTGATCTTGAGCTGGCCATCCACAACGTCGACGCCGACAACGATAGGGTTCGTCTTGTTGAACACAGCCACCGTGTTGAGAACGCAGGGGAAGACGGCCAGCATCTTGGACTCCTCCTTCTTCTTCTCCAGGAGCTCGTCCATGTGCTTCGTGAACGAGTCAAACAGGTGGTAGATGATGTCGGCCGTGAAAATCTTGACACCCACGTCCTCGGCGTAGGCCTGCGCCTCCTTGTCGACCTTGACGTCGAAGCAGAGCATGACGGCATAGTCCGGCGCCTTCTCCAGCATGATGCCCGACTGCATAACGTCGCGCTTGTACACTGGGCCGATACCCACGTTGGCCACGGGAATCTTGCAGTCCTTGAGGAAGTCGAGCAGGGCCTCGAGCGAACCCAGCGTCGAGGCCTGCACGCTGACACCGCGACCCGTCTTCTCCACGCGGTTGAACAGCACGGCGAGATCGGCCTCGACCTCGTCGCAGAGGTCGTCCTCGTCGTCGTCGGGACCGACAACGAGCAGGCGGGAGCCGGCAATGGCGCCCTCGAGACCCGGCGCGCTGATCTTGACACCCAGCGCCGCCTTGACCTCCTTGTTGTGCACGTACGCCGACTTGAGACGCAGCTCCTTCATCGG